AGAGTGCAAGGGCTCACAAGAGAGTGCAAGGGCTCACAAGAGAGTGCAAGGGCTCACAAGAGAGTGCAAGGGCTCACAAGAGAGTGCAAGGCTCACGAGTGTGTTAGGTGAGGGAGAGGGAAATGAAAAGAGGGGCCAGCAGGATACCTCAGTGGCCACGGCACTTGCAGACAAACCTGACTGTCTTGAGTTCAACCCCCAGAACCACATGGTAGGAGGCAAGAACAGACTCCCGTGAAAAATGTCCCCGACCTCCACAGGAGCACTGGGGCACACGCATCCCCCCACAACTGTGCACACACTCACAGCATAAATAAAAATGTAATTTTGTTTTCGAGGCAGGGTTTCTCTGTGTAGCCCAAGCTGGCCTTGAACTCACGGAGATCCTGAGACCTCTGACTCCTGAGCGCTGGGATTAGAGACCCGTGCAGATGCATACCACTGCGCCCATCCCCTGATCCCACTTTCGGTGTGTCTGTATTCAGTGCTGGGGATGGAGCAGGGTCTCATGCTCCACCAGCAAGCACCTGACCGAGCTACAGCCCAGCCCTGCAGACGGGTTTTACCGGGGGTGCTCCTGGGACTAGCAGTGAGTTAGGGGGGCTAGTCAGTGTACTCCAGCACACAGGCCAGTTCCGCCCCCGTGTGCAGGCATCCTCTGCTCCAAAGTGCACAGGGCTGAGGACAGCAGCAGTTTGTGTGCAGTTTTCCCTCTTTGGGAAATGTGTGCAAATGTGAGCCGACCGTGTGCGGGGGAGGCGAGGGCGCGGGAGCCCGGCAGGGCTGGTGCAGGCTGGCCTTGTCACCTGCTCCCCTCCCCCGCTTCCTTGTCACTCCACACTCCTGTCCGGTCTTATGAGGAAAGGCTAAGATGGATGAGTGTGCCTGGTGCCTGGGAATGTTCCCGTCCCCGCCCCACCCCCTCACCCCTGGACGGGAGAGAAATCCTAAACCAAAATAACTAAGGCCGGATGCTGAAAGAATGTCAGGTGGTGAACAAGAACCCCAAAGTAGAGATGGAAGCTTCTGGAACATGAGCCATTCCCAGAGCTGACTTCCGCCCCCCTTCAGGCAATGCTGCTTGGGCACACACCCAATGCAGGAGGCATTTCAGCCAAAAAAGGAGAGTTTTTCTGGAAGTTTCTGAGCAATTGGAAACTGGGGGTGTTTAAATGAAAACCATTTTTGCAGGCTTCTCCGCTGAGTGGCTGTGGGAAGAAACAATGGCACTTGAGGCCAGATATTCTGGTAGTGACTTATAGCCAAGACTCAGTGCCCAGGCCCCTTCCCCCAGGGCCACAAGAGCCCATCACGGGGCTTTAGCTAGTGCCCCCTAGGGGCACAAAAGCAGGGTAGTTGAAGGCAGAACACTCCAGAAAAACCAGTCTGGGCAAAAGGATTTCAGTGGCCTCCCACCAAAGTCCAGCATGGCTGTGAGGTGCTGAGCCACTTCCCACATGGGGAAACTGAGGCTCTCAGGCTCTCTCATTCCAGGCTGTGTAGCCCCATCCCTCCAAGGTCCCCTCCCACAGCCACCTCACTCCCAGGCTTGGTGACACTGTCTGTCCCAGCTCTCAGAACCCACAGTGATGAACCTCTAGCCTCCGTCATCTCAACCAATGCAGAGATGTCCACTGCCTCCGTGACAGACCTGAGCAGTGTCTGGTCCCTGAGGAAGCCTCCATAATGGGAGTTTAGGGACAGAAGCTTGCTCTAGGACTCCAGTTGGTGTGAGCTGCTAAGTGTCCTTAGTGAAGAGCACAGACAGCCGTTGTTCACCAAATGAGGGCTCTGAGTGACAGCCTGGTCCTTTGGTCCCTTCCTGTACGTGGTGGAAGGACACAGGGACTCATCAAAGCCGGGGCAGCAGCCTCCAGGGCACAGCCCTTGAGGCCACAACTCTAGTCCGGCAAGGGCCGCTGTTTGACCTGCTTGTCACAGGTTCCTGCTCTGCCTCCTGAGAACAGGGATTCCCTCCGGGCTCCAAGCTTGGCTTCAGGTATTCGGGAAATCAGTCAGTTCTCTCCCAGCCCCAGTTGGTGTGCGTTGCCCTGTCTCATCCCGGCATCCTCTCTCTCCGGGGCTGGTGCTCACTGGGTGGGCTGCATCCCAGGAGAGCTTGCGTGCAGTCTCCTTTGGCTCCAGGACCCCTCCCTGCTTCCCGCAGGTGATTAAACATGTTTAAAGACCACTGTGAGAGATCGCACATACCAAGGCAGCCTGGTCTACAGACTGAGTTCAAGGTCAGCCTGGGCAAGTTAGTGAGAATCAGACTCTAAAGAAGAAACAAGAGGCTTAAGGGTGCGGCTCAGTGTAGAGGCACTTGGATGAATGGGGCCCTGGTTCCACGTCCAGAACAGAGAACAAAAACAAAAATAAAATAAAACCAAAGGAGCAGTCAAGAGGTGGCTGTGCACACCTTTAATCCCAGCACTCAGGAGGCAGAGGCAGGTGGATCTCTGTGAGTTCGAGGCCAGCCTGGTCCGCAGATCAAGTTCCAGGACAGCCAGAGCTGTAACCTAGAGAAACCTTGTCTCAAAAAAACAAAAACAAAAACAAAAACTAAAAACCACCAAAAAAAAAAAAAAAAAATCAAGCAAGCAAGCAAACAAAAAATAAAACCGAAGGAGCACACCAACAGAATTTACAAAACCCAGAGCCCCCCATCAGCACCCACTGCTCTGCTGAGGCTGGGTCAGAAGCTTGAGACAGGGAGGCCAGCTGCGGCTTTTAGTCTCTTATAACCTAAGTGACACTGTTCCCAGTGACATCACAATGACAGAGTGACGGGCACACATACCATTTGTTTGCCTGACTGTGACCCAAAGACATTTAAAAGCCCTGCTCGCTGCCAAACACCCAGTGTCCCTCTGCCTTGTGTGCCCGTGGTTCTTCTTACTCCGGGTAATTTAGGATCTCAATAGCCTGGAGGGAATTAGCTGAGAATTCTTCGGGAGACAAATAAACTTAGCCCGCCCATCCTGCCTTTCTCAAGTGCTGTGGACACTTCCAACAGTCGTCTGTGCCTGACCCTTGGGCTGCGCCGAGCTCCAACCCAAATAAATAAAGTTTATTAATTAGCATTCATTCTGACCAAATAAGCTCCATCTCCCGTGATCCCTGCCAACATGATCGGAAAAATAAACCACTGGTCCCAGGGACCTTGACGAGGATTTAACAAATTAACACGAGGCAGTCCTGGGGGAAGGGAGACTGTGAGAAAAGTCCATATTACAGCCAAGGACA